ATAATGATAGTGATGCAAATAACCTAATTGTGATGCAGGCTGCAAAATCTGATGCGGAGAGGGAGGGAATATCACCTGCTTGGCGGAGGTCTGCACTAGGCATGTGCCAGTATGAGATTTTGAAGGTATGATAACCGTGGGCAAAAATACCACGGTAATCGGTAGTAATAATAATAATAATAATAATAAAACAGGCGTCGTCCTATTTTTGTGCTCTACACTTTAAAACGGTAGGCTAATATTCATTTGACCGTTCATGAGCGACAGCACGTACCAGGCATCTCCTGTCAGTGCAACGCATCATCACACCAGTTGTTTAAATGTGTAATATAGACCCGTTAAAAGTAATAGAGCCATTTCTTAACTTCGCGATGGTCACTCCGCCCACCAGCTTGTTTAGCTCCTCGTCGTTGCGGACAGCCAGCTGCCGGTGACGGGGATGATACGGGTCTTCTTTTTGTCGCGGGCAGCGTTTCCAACCAACTCCAGGATCTCAGCGGTCAGATACTCCAGCACAGCCACCAGGTAGACGGGGGCACCGGCACTGACACGCTCCGCATAGTTTCCATTGCACAGCAGCCTGTGAACACGGCCCACTGGGAACTGGAGCTCAGCACGGGAGGAGCGGGTCTTTGCCTTTGCTCTGGGGGTTCTTCTGATAGCCTAAATGGTCCCACACCACCAACTTCGTCCTTTTCGCCGGTGGGAAAAGTTCAGCTTCGCCTCCTCCAGCCATGTTTGCAGTTTGCACGTGAGTGGATTTACACTAATTACTGACGTACTGACTGACTGACTGAGGCTGCCCCCCCAGTAATTGTGCTGACTGCAGCGGCTGCACATGCATGATTTCAGAGTGTGTGCCAGGTGAAATGTACGACTGGCACAGAGTTATTTCTGAGTTTTGAGTTCCTGAAGTTCCCATTTATGACCCGTAACCCTTATGACCGTACCATTTATACCGTCGGCCTTTACCGTCGGAACGGAAAATGGGCGGTTAGTGACACTGTGACATTCTTTTACCGTGGTAAACCGTGACGCCGGTAACCAGCACGTGCCTAGTTTGCACTCTCTGAGTGCTTTTCTAGTTAGTCCACCATGGAGGTTGAAGTTGACCTTAAATGTTCTGTGTGTAGGATTTAGTGGCATCTAGTGGTGAGGTTGCAGATTGCAACCAACTCAAACTTCTCCAAGCATGTAGGAGAACTACACGAATGGTCCTATGTAGAGCCAGTGTTTGGTTTGTCTGTTCTGTGCTACTATAGAACAACATGGCGATCTCTGTAGACGAGGACGCGCTCTGTATGTAGATATAAACAGCTCATTCTATGCTAACGAAACCACAACGATTCTTAAGCTGAGTTCAGACCAATGATCTGGACGAGCCGAAACCATTTTAGAATGTCTGAGCTCGACTCAAGCCAGCTGATGGTGTCACCTTCAACTCTGGTTTTAGAACCTGTTTCAACAGCCAGTCGGCTTGTCGAGAAGTCCTCTGGTCAAGTCAAAATGACCACAGACGGCGTGTTGGCTTGTTGCGGCAGGTGTTTTGTCTCCGCCGAGCCCTCTGTTTCTGTCCTCATGGTGTGCTGGTCTCGGATAGTGGAACGGTGGGGGATGTATGTAGGCTTTAGATTTAGAGAATCCACACTTAAATGAAAGTGCTGTTGTTTGAATAAACAGAGTGTTCTGTTACTACATGAATTAATGACTGGTTAAGGTCATCACACATTGACTCTGCTTGGCGCTCTGCTGCTCTGAGAGTGTGTAGTTCTGAATAACTGAAAGGTACTGTACATTCCAACAGAATTCAGCTATCCATTTTCTAAATGCTTTTTATCTGAAATTTACATTACAGTGACACTAGTGTAGTCACTGGTCCTCCTGTTCTTTGCAGCATGAGCTTCTGAGTTCAGCTTGACAGGTTCAAACTCCCGAGGATGTGAATTCAAACTGTGTTGACAAAGTTCCATTCTTTCACCATAAACATGCAGGTTCATTAATGACTTTAACATTCAGCAGCTCTGCAGTATATCAGCACCAACTCTCACCCAGTCTGGCAGTAAATCTAGAATAGGTGGAGCTGCTCTCAGAGGTTTCTCCCCAAATAAAAGCATCCAGCAGTTAATTAGTGTGAATCAGTGAGTCAGAAACAGCTTTTGAAACAGTAGCGTCTCTATGACAACATGGGAAACCTTTGCCCACATCAACAGTGTGCAGCCAACCCCGCTGGTGTCTCACGCCAGTCAACAACATCAAACTGCGAGCAGTAGCTTCTCAGTCAGGTGACAGCTCAACTTCTTGTTTGTGCTTAACAGCTTAATGCACACTGAGTGAGTATGATGAGGCAACAACTGGAAGTGTTTGAGCTCAGAAGAGGTATTTCCACTTCCAGCAGTATTTTAGTCTGAGCTTATTTACTTAACATTTCTAAGAGGTGGTGAAGTAATAGCTGGCAAATATTAGACGCTTGTAAATAAGCAGGTGTGATGGAGAAACACAGAGGAGGGTGGGAAGACATGGAGGATGACATGAGACATGAATGGTTGGTTTCTGTCACATTATGACGTATCGTCGCGTAAGCAGAGGACGTGCATATCTCGGTTAATGACTTAAACAGAAAATTCAAATAATCTCACCGATTACTGAAATTTGACCCACAAGGTCCATAAACACTCCGTCTCTTCTGTCTTTGCGTCAATAAAAGAAATAATGTCTATTTGTTGTGTTGTAGATTAACTGGTTCACGCAGTAGCTCGATCACCACACTTTGACTGTTTATCTCTGTTGTTAACTGGTCTGTACACACACACACACACACCTGCACACACACAGCTGTAAAGGTCAGTTATTTAAGGAGCTGCTGGTCACAGAGGTCAGTGGTGATAGTCGTTGCTCTGCCTCTTATCTGTGTGTAAACATGTCTGAAGGTAGATGATGTTTCCCAGAGGACAGTGGTCTTTATGTGTCAGTGACCAGGTCAAACATGTTACATGAGGAGTGGAGCATCCAGATACAAGTGGTGACCTTAATCACACTCATTAACTTGGATCAACCCAATCGTTAGAAAAAAATTTGGCATTATGAATTTCTGCAAACCACAGGCACATTAAACTGCATTATTTTGTCAGGAATACATTCAAACAATTCTCAAACGCCACTGTGATGTGGTGGCAAAAAACGTTCAGCTCAGGTGGCTCAAATCCCGCTGGAAAATACTGAGATAGGTTGGTGAAAAACTTGGTGAAAACTAAGTCCCAAAGCACAAACGCTAGGGAAATACCACAATATGTCAGTGAAAAACGTCCAGGTTTTGTGGCAAAAATGTCACAGGGAAACGCCTTAATGTGTTGATTAAAATGTTGGGGTTTGTTGGGAATAGAATGATGTTACGTGTTTTACTATAAGTTGTGTTTCACTATATAAGTTTTAGATGTGTGAACAATGAGAATACTGAGATGATTTCAGCTGATCTGAATGTGTTTGCTTTGCAGAAGTGGAGAAGTACAGGAGAGGAAGAGACATGAAGTCTGAGGAGCACATACCGCAATGCTTAGATAATTAGTTTCATATATGGTAAAAAGAATAGAAAGTGATATACAGATAGTAAGGTACAGCACGTGTAGGGAGTTGTGTTGTTCTCTTGTCTTTCAAAACAGGAACCACGCCCCCACCGCCAGCGGGAAGGAGTCAGATTAACACGAGGCAGGGGCGTGGTGTGGTGAAGGAGGAAGTGGAACTGCCAATGAGAAGAGGACAACGCCTTGCGTGCACAATGACACTCTGTTACGCTCAAATATACTGGGTCAGGGAAAGGACAGGAGGTCAGACTTCGTGAACTGACACACCTTTGTTGTTCATCAGGGACGTGAAGTTGAGACCCAGAGCTCTGTAATTTTATTCCTTTACTGCTTAATAAACTACATTAACTGAGACCGAATATCTTCTCCTATTGCTTCATTAAAGAACACGCAGGACTGAGCTCACACATAGCACATTAGAGAGTAGGATGGGACTCCTAGTCCATCAGGTTCCATGGGTCAACGCTGATTGGAAATACCGTGATGTGCTGGTGAAAAAAGTCCAGGTTCCGTGGCTCATGGTGTGTTCGTTTTGTACTCGAAGGTCAGAAATTCCCAGTTCCCAGTCAGAAGTTTAAACTCGAAAGCACACTGAGATCGGATTTCCGACTCGGAAACTCGGAGCAACTGCATCAACGGCAACTTACGAATTCAAGATGGCTGCCGGTCACATACATAGCACGTAAACACTCTGCTACAGTACTGTTTATAGCAATTTTATCTTACTTGTTTTACATTAGGTTAGCCTCATCTGCAGCGTTCATCAGTTGGAGTGCATGTTTTGAAGCTGTCAATACTCCGAGAGTGCAAGGGCAACAAAGGCTTTCTTGCGGGCGTCCATGTTTTTTTCCGACTTGTTCATCGTTGTCAACTAGAATTCAAAAACTGCTGTCAACTCGGAGGTGACGTCATTCCCACTTCTGACCTCCAAGTACCAAACAAACGCACCATCATATGCCAGTGGAAGATGCTGTGATGGGTTGAAAAAAAACTGCCAGGTTCTGTGGCACAAACGCTGCTGGGAAACACTGAGTGTGTCAGTGAAAACTGTTGCTGCTAAAAACACCTAGGTTCGATGCCACATAAACCAGTGGAGATGACGTTAAGGGTTGCTAAAAAAACACAGCTGTTATTGTTTGTTGGTTTGAACAGTGGTCTGCCACTTGGCAGAGATCTGAGATTACATCAGTATAGGAAGGTTGATATGATAAATCTGAAATGTACAAATGTGACAGTGTGCATGTCTCAACACATGGACATGATGCATATATTTATAATTTCAATTGCGAAGTTTTACTCTGCATTCTCCAAAGAATCATAGGAACTAACGTTACTTGTACCTCGTACTCGAAATGCTTAAAACAAGCTGGTACCCTGTGAAAATTCAGTGTTTCCTGATTTCTTTTCACTCTCTTCTTCCAGTTCAGGTTGGGCTCTGTTTTGCTGAAGGCCATCCCGGAGCCGGCGGAGGCAGTGAGAGAGTTACTGATCCACAGCCTGCAGAGGGGAAACACACTGGAACACCACAACCAGAAACTGGAGGACGAGAACCAAAGACTGAGACGAGAACAGCAACGCATCACTGCAGAGTAAACACACGCAAAACACAGAAGAACCAAAGTCTCCTCAGCTCCAAACCAGAACCAGGCGGGTCGGGATGATTTCCACATTGGAAAAATCCTGAAGTTTCATTATTACCCTCTGAAAGTTTGGGGAAAATTTTGTTAATAAGATTATTTTGGGAGATATAAGGGCACGAGAGTGCGAATGCAGGACTTTTACATGTAGTGTAGTAATTTTAGTGTCATGTTACTACTTTTACTTTAGTAAAATATCTGAATACTTCTTCTACCATTGTTGAAATGAAACTTCTGAAATACATCTGTGTACAGTTATGTCTGAACATACAAAAACATTGCCTAAAATCAACAAAAAAATATTTAAAATCAGGAATTACATGATGATAGAATGATTCAGTTAGACTGTAACTACTTTGTGGTTTGTAAAGAAAAGGGTTAAGTCAAGTTTTACATGTGGGAACCCTGCACAGCCCACTCTGGCATCAGGGTTAAAATCACAAGTTTTAAGTTCCCTTAAAATCCATCACATTGAGTTATTACCCAACTCATGTAACAGTGTGTGGGGAGGGGCCGTCATCCTGTAGCTGTACGTCACTTTGAGCTATGAACTGATGTCACAGCTGTGAGTGTGAGTTGATCACAGTCAATGAAGTATGAGGAGCCGCTGTGATTCACATGACTCAGCATTAGTTATTTTAATGTAAAGGATAAGGCAAGTGTTGTAATATATTTGTGTTATAGTCGACAAATCACATGAAAGGATTCAAACCAACCATGTGTTCGTCTGTCTCTCAGTACTTTCTGACTTCCTGTCTGTGGCTCTCAGCTCCAAGCTAACTGGCTCCTACTGAAGACAGAGTTCTCTCACACTTGCCCCGTTTAGCAGTCACACTCAGGTGTGCACCAAAACAACTGGGCCAAGACCTTCTTGAAGAGGTGGTCTCAGTCTGGTTCCAAAGGAACTCTGGTGCGGTTGGTTTGTGGTGAGAAGGTGTTCCGACCTGGATGTGAAGCAACGGCAGTCACATGACACATTGTTTGGGTTAAACATGAGCATGTTACAGTCCTGGAGGATTATTAATGTGCACCTCCTCCTGTACTGCCTTAATATGCACATTCAGCACATCCAATGCATCAAAACATTGTTTTCTAGTTGGAGCCGCGCCTCGTTTTCAAACTGTATGCTTTGACTAAAATGAACAATGACAGCAATATAGTCCACGATGAGCAGCGCTAAAATCAACCTGCGTTGTTGTCCCTCCATTGTGACATTAGAAAGTGTCACATTTATCTTGCAAGTGTACTCTTCTTCAACGTTTGCTTTACTTCCTGGATTTTTCCCACATGGAAATTCTGACCAATCAAGAGCAGCTTTCAAACACAAGGCATTTGATCTGGTCCTTTTGTAAATGCTGCTGTGAAAACATGAACTCTAGGCAATTATACAACTTTGGAGCAAAATTAGTCCCTGATTCAGACCAAAGGAGACGACTCTAGGTCTGAGAGCACCCTAAACACTTTAAAAGCAAGTTTCATGTCTAAAAAGTCTCAGCTGGTCAGTTTTTAACAAACAAAGAGGAAGAGGATTTGTTGGGAACTATTTTCAGTGGTGGATTAATCCACATTTGTAATAAAAGGAATTACACAGTTAATACTTTTGTTGGTTTGGATGTTTTCGTTTGATTTGTTGACAGTAAGAAAAGTATAGAATATCACCAGACTTTACTTTAAAGATATTTTTATTAAAAAACAAGACCTGCTTTGAAGTTAATACCCAGGGCCGCTCAACTCGTGTGATTCATGGCTCTGTAATCGCTCCCTCGACTGCTCTATCCATCACTGATCAGCAGCAGAGGTGTAATGTTGCTAAAAGGAAACATTTGTGTACTTTTCATGTCATCCAGGGGAAGGTTTCAGTCACTGATGAAGTGTGAGCTCCAGATAATAAGACGTGTGTGTGTTTCTGTATATTACAGACTGAAGCGCTATGCTGGTGGTAAAGAAGCCTTGGAGGCAGAGCTGTACTCTCGCTTTGTTTTGGTCCTGAACGAGAAGAAAGCAAAGATCCGCAGTCTGCAGGAAACTGTGACACACCTGCAGGAAACCAGGTATACTACACACTTATATTTGTTTACCCTGTCATCCTGTAAATCCCCTAAATATGAGCTTTACTAAACAGTACTTTGAAGTGGTGCCAGGTTTTTCTAATGAACAACTGTTTTGCGCACAAAGTCCTGCAAGTAATATTTTAATCATGTTTTGGCCTTACTGCATTTTGCAAGAGAAAAAAAAAGATTTAAAATCGTGAATTGGCCCCTAAGCTTGAAAAAAAAAAAATCACAATGATGATTTTTGGGCTTTATTACACAGCCCTACCTTCAACTGCTATGTTACTGACATCTCAACTGCTGTCATTTTTTAGAATTTGACTGTAACAGCATTCAGTACTCACACATCAGCTGGCTGTCATGTTTAAAATGAAAACACTGACGGGGGCCGATTGTGTGGGAAGAACTGCAAAAACAAGGGTGCAGGTGCTAGCTGACGGCCCAACATTGACCAGCACCTGGCTGTCGGCTTGGTGTGTCAGGGCTGTAGTCAGCCCTTGACAGCTTATCTTTGACTGATTCAGCATGTTGAATCGGTGTTGGAGACGGTGGAGCCTGTCACTTAGAGAAATCACCCTGATTGGCAGTTTAGCTCAGCACACGAGACGAGAAACTGAAGTGAGGAACGTAAACAAATGGCTAAACATCAGGAGGGAGTGAGACCAAACAATCTTGTTACATATGGTAAGATTATGTTTTTAGTCATGGAGCGCTTCAGCAGCAGCGGTTCGTAATTGTTTGTGCTATTGTTCACTGGTGCACGGTAAATATAATTTGTTCTTTCGATCAGGTTATGTTGATAATGTGCTAACTGGCTAACTAGCATCTTGAATCTGTCCTGTTGGTCTTTTGGTTTCCCTTTTAGAATGACGAATACAGACCACTGCCACCTGCTGCTATGGAGAGTAGTTTCCTCTTACACAGTCGCAGAATGTACATGCTAGTTGGTTGTAGTCTTTGTGGTGTGTTCAAGTGCAACTTTTTGGCTGAGGCAGGCAGCATGAGGTGATGCAACAGTCGGCCTTTGTCGCCACTAGTTCTTCGATTTGAGTTTGGTGTGTCTGGGCCTTAACATTTGTGACTTTAAGAATAATCCCTGCTCATCTGTTTTCATCACTTTCACATCTGCTGAAGCCCACTGCAGTGATAACCTTCGACTTATAAATCAGCTTCTTTCATATACATATAAGTTAAGCTGCATTCAGTGCTCACATTTTGACTGATACTTCAAACCTTTTCAGAGCTTTAATTGCCACCATAACTTCTCTGGTGCTTTAACTGTAGCTCTCAACATCTGGTAAATTACAAACATTTAAATAATTTCAATTTTACATTGCTAAAAACAAGAGAACTGTTTCACCTGCAGATTTTCAACACTTGTCTATAGGTCTGTACCCAAATTAGATTTTTTTGTTCCAACTAGATACAAAGATTTCTTTGTTTTTGTCTCTTCTAGAGACAGTATACCCTGGCTCCAGCGTTTACATCAGTCTCTTGAATCCTGCACCCTCAATACTTAAGGTTGACATTGTGGCAGGCTGCTACAAATAAATGAATGTATGGAGACATTAAATAATGCACACTGACTGAAGAAGAAAAAAAAAGATTGCTCAACTTGAAAAATTTCAAGTTGACTGAGGGTTCACCAACGGATGGTTCATCTCATCGACTCTCAGGGATCACTTTTCTAATTGCTCAATAAATTGCTCAAGACTTTTTGACGTCTGTTCCTGTGATCACTGCAATTCTCCGATTCATCTCTTTTGTTGCAAAAGTCATGTGATATTTAATTATTGTTTAATTCATTTTAATTAAAGTCTGATGATTATTATCTTAACTATCATGTCTCATGTTCTTTGACTGAAATGAATCATGTACTCTCTGGTCTCTGTTGTAGTTCTGAGGGACAGAAAAAAGGGGGTTCAGAAAAGTCAGAGCGGACAGCAGGTCAGGAGGAAGATGATTATGGAGGAAGTACTGATGAGGAGTCAGAGGAAGCACACGCGACTGCAGCCTCCACTTCATCGACACAGGGTAAGATCTCTATCAGCGAAGCCTCTTAGCTTCCAGCCTGGGTTTCCTCAAACTTAACCCCTTAATGTGAATCATCAAAGTGAACTTAGTTGTTTGTGTCCTCTCACACATATAGCTGCATCAATTTATCAATGAGTTGTGAATTAAATTGGTAAATTTGAGTACATTTTAAAGAAAAAAAAAAGGTCAAATTCTCTGATTTAAGCTTCTTAAATTTTAATATTTTTTGGTTTCTTTCCTCCTCTATGACAGTAAACTAAATATACTTAGGTATATTCTGGTGATCCACTGACTAAGTGAGCTTTAGCGCCTCATCTCAAAATGCTATTCATGCAGAGGTGGTGAAATTTTAATGTTTTGTCATGTAAATGTTCTGCCATTTATTTTTTGTCAGCTTTTCTGACAGACAGCTAACTAGCGGCACACTCATGGCAATTACCGCAGGTAACCAAGCGGCAGCATCCAAAGCTGGAAAGTGAAGCCAACACAGAAGTGCCAAAAACTGCAGTTCCTCTAATGGCCACTTGAGACTGGCTCCAAGAGTGAGTCAATCCCCACAGACCCTAATGTTAATATGTCCAACTTTACAGCAGAAATAAACATGTTTACAGCCTGGTACAAAAAACTGTTGTGGTCTCTATAGCTAATTTCCACCTTCATGACAGCTGTACAGGGGGTGAATTTATTTATAACTCACCTGTGTACATTTTATTAAGGTTTAAAGTTACGCATAATTAAAGTCGGGCTGCTTTGAGTGACAGGCTGTCTGAGGTTAGTGCCCACCCCTCGCTCCTCCACAGCTCCAGCCTCTCACTCAAATATTGTCACCTCTGGCTCAAAAACATAAAGACATCAGTGGCTAAAATGTTGAACTCCAGACTTCAAAATGGGAGTCCACAAATCCGTGAGTGACGTCACAATAGCTGCGGCCATCATTTTTACAAACTACGCTTGTACCGCCATCCTGATGACAACATGGTCTAGCTGCGGCACATCGTGGCCACGTTCCAATCTCCCCCAGGTACCCACAGTGAGTAAGCAGCTCAGATTTGAGCCGCAAAACTCCTTTAGCACTTTTAACTATGTTAGCACCAGCAGCTGTGCTAACGCTGCTAATGGCAGCTAACAGAAGCTAACTATGCTAAAGGGGGTTTGTGGCTCAAAACTGAGCCGCTTGCTCACTGGGGTGACCTGGGGGCAGACCAGAGGGTAGGCACAATGTTTCCACAGCAACAGTGTTGGGTTGGGATGATCAGTAACTGCTGAATGAGCGGCGCTGCTAGCTTATGTTAGCTCCCACCAGACCTGGGTGATGCGCAGTGCAGTTAACTGAAGAGTAGCAAAATTAACCTATAGACTGACATGCACAACCGGTCAAAAATATTCTCTGCTGTTAACCGTTGACATGCCTACTATTTATACAACAAGGGCGTAGCCGTGAAAATGTCAACTGCGTCGGCTTTGAACTGGCTTTTCACCAAGTGTAAGATGGGCTCTTTATGTTTTTAAACGTAAACTGCTCTCTCCTGTGTTGCATGATTTTGTGCCTGAGCCTCCGGATGTGTCTCTTGCCTTTAAAGGATATTTTTAAAGTGTTTTGACTGGCTTCCAGCTCATGATTGATAACTCAAGAGGGCAATTTTAACAATTGAATCATGTTCCAACTCCACAGCAGCTTGCTCCACTGATGAGCCCCCATCGTCTGGTTAAAGTGCTGCTAATCAGTAACATCAAGTAAAAGCATAAACTCCCCAACTTGCCACACACTTTCAGCACTGTGTCAAAATTCCTTAAAAGGGGAACTCTTCCAGGAGCAGCAGTTACAGGCAAAACGGTCATGACCTTGTCTCAGTCATACTTTTTAAGTGAACATACAGACAGTTATGGAGTAAGTTTTTCAGGCGGGAACTCGACAGAAAGTGCTTCATCCTGTCATATAAACGAATAAGTCAACATGAAATCACTTATGGCAGAAAATTGCAGTTGCAGGTGTTCTGCCTTTCACGGCTGATGGGAAACACCTGCTGTGACATCACTGATTGAAGTGTGGGCAAATATGAGACATGTGTCACAACACACCGGTAATTAGTGCCACAGCGTTGTAAAAAAAAAAAAATGCAAAATGTGTTTTTATTGTAAAGAATTTCACATTAAAAGTTACACTGTGTAAAATATGACTTAATATTATATGTCTGGGAGCTGTTGTCATGAGAGCTGAGTGTGTTTGCACCATTGCTGAGACCTTCTGTGTTTTTCATGCCCAGAAAGTAACCATGACATCACTGCAGAGTTATGTAATGAAGAGTCGTGGGCCTCCGCGAGCTGACATCCCAAAACACCTTTAAATACAAGCAGCTTCATAACGTTGACGTTTCACTTCATCAACCTCCAGACTTGTGCTCCCAGATGGGCCTGGCTGTGATTAATGTGCCACCAGCAGGAGGGTGGATGTATGTGGTGTAGGTGTGTGTTACAGTAAGAGCATAAGTTACCCATCATGGAGCTGAACTGTGCTGTCAGACGGAGTTTTAGGGGAGTTTTTGCCCTCCTCTCAGCTGTTTACATCCCTGATTTTTCCACTTTCTCACATATGTTAAATCGACCGCAGCCAGGTTGGGTTCGTTTTGATACGTCAAGGCTTTTTTCGGCAACGTAGGTGTCCCTGTTCTCCGGGCCTTCCCCTCCATCTGATGAGGGAAAGCTTGCAGGATGTGTGTTGTCTCTGTTGCCACGACAGTGACTCAGACGGCCGCGTGTTGCCAGTGTGAGCCAACAGATAGAAGGAAGGGAGGGGAGGTTTTAGGAAATTAGTGGTTTCAGTTTGTGTGTGTATGGGTTTGTTTTGTGTGGTATGTATAGAGACTGCTGCTGTTGCTGCTGTTGTTGATGCTGAGAGAGGCTTTACTGAAAGATCCATTCAACAAAACAATCTGTTGTTGATGTCAAACTGTCTTTGAGCCCATTTTGGTGAAGTAAGTGTGTGTGGATAAAAACTTTTTAATAATCCCGCCCAGTAAGAAGTAATTTTCTTGGCACCTTGTAGCTCCTTGTTCGTAGATTTTTAATTACAAGCTTCTACTGAATGGTTGACATGTCCAACATTTATTTGTCTCCATTAAAGTAAGATAAGAATTTCTTTAACGTTTTTCATTCCGTATTTTATGGATTAGAGCCATGTTCGTGTAAAACCCAACAAATACGCTGCGAACAAAGTAAATGTGAAATCTTTTTATGCCTTCATGCTGTTGATAGCTGCTCCAATGGTTTTTGGGTTGTTATCTCAAGAACACCTCAAGGAATTTCTCCAAATTTGGCACAAACGTCCACTTGGGCTCAGAGACGAACTGACTGAATTTTGGTCATCAAAGGTCAGTGTGACCACATTTGTCTTATTCCCATGAATGTGATGTCTTATGAACACCTTGAGGGAATTTCTTCAAATTTGGCACAAACATACGTGGACTCAGAGATGAACTGATTGAATTTTAATGGTCAAAGGTCACTGTGACCTCACGAAACATGTTTTTGTCCATAACTCAGGAATTCTTACGCTAATTACAATAATATTTCACATAAATGTCTAACAATATAAAATGATGAAGTGATGACATTTTATAAACAAAAGGTCAAAGATCAGCTTCACTGTGACATCATAATTTTCTGCAACAACACTTGTCTAGTGGGGGGGCAGTGTAGACAAGCTGTAAAGACAAAAACTGACATATTATCACCTTCTAAAGCTGATAAGCAAACAGTTGCTTCATTACACATTCAGCTATCCATATAATTGAACATAGCATTAGTTCAGGCAGGACACGAAGCTCAGCTCACATCCCAGCTACATCAGCTGATCTCAAACAGCCCAATCAACTGATGGATCAGCTAATTGATGGAAGGGAGTCAGCCAATATATCACATGATTCCTTTCTATGCAACCAATCGGCGAATCTCATTCATGGCACCCTATTTAAACTGCTCTGGCCTGCCTACTGTTGCTGCTTCCTCTGCAAGCCGCTTTGCAACCTGCCTCCACCCCAGCTCCTCCTTTTCCTGTGTGTCTGACTTATCAGTGTCATTTCTGTTTGTCATTGATGCTGCTCTGTTCTGTCCCTGGGGGGGTCTTTGCTGCTGCTCTCCCTGCCTTAGACTTTCCATGTAGGCGCATGGAAGGGCAGAGAGGTTTGTTCTCTCTGCTGTAAGCTTTCTACATAGGCGCGTGGAAGAGACTTTCTGTGTAGGCGCGAGGAAAGGCAGCGAGGCCTCGGAAATCACCAAATACAATACTGCAAATTGAAATAAAATTGTCTTTGATGAAAGTGCTCCTTACTGAAATAAATGTTCTGTCTATTTTTAGCTCTGTTTTTGGTCTTCACCAAGTCCTGAGGGAAATATGTCTCTTTAGCTGCTAAATGCTCTGCTATATTCGCCAGATAGTTTCTAACTGTGTCTGCTGTCGGACTCTGGAGCTTCTTAGCTCTAAAATCTTTTCTTTTTTTTCTCATCTGCATTTTCCTGCTGCTGCTGGAAATGATGACAATGAGACCAAAACACACAAGTAGTTGGGCTGTTAAACCAAATCAATCAATTGAAGGACTTAATAAAGCTCTATGGAGCTGAACCACAGAGTAGGTGATTAATTTCCGTGAGTTTAACACATACAATATCACAACTTAAAACCTGACTGTAGTTAAAAAAATAAAATGGAGGAAGGGGATAGAAACACCTGACACCTGCTGTCCACTTTGTTATGGTTCCAGTGTTCATTGGGGTCTTTGAGTTTAACAGACAGCTTTAACAGACTGCTCCAGAGACCTGAGTCAGTGTGTTCTTAGAAACCAGTGGAGAAAATGTGGAAACCAGTCACTGAAACTGAACGGAGAGAAATATATCAGCGCAGATCAATTCAAGAAAAGGAAGAACACGTAATTTGAAGGATGTTTGCACATTTTCCACCTTCGCCATCCTGCTGTTCTTTGATCCCTGGAGAACGTGCTGGTTTG